TGTTAATTTTTTTATTAATTGAAATAAATAAAGGATAAATAAAATGAATATTTCAATATTAAAAACACTTATTCAACGTTAAGTGATTTTTTCAAATTTATCATATTTCAATCGATTTCGAGTTAATGCAAATCAAACCGCGATCCATATCGAGTGTATTTTCTAAACCAAAATAAAAATACGTAATCAAATTTTAAATATTTTTTCGCAAAGGATGAAAAAGAAAATGGTCTAGTGTCTACTATTCTTTTCCCCGAATGTTTGGATACAAGTTGTCAAATTCGACCATCCGAACAATCGTTGTCGGTTTAAAACCACCAATCTGATTCATATCAAACCACTTTTGTAATCAAATCTTAAACAAAATTCTTTCTTAATAAATCAGACAAAAAAAGAATGGTCTAGTGTCTACTATTCTTTTGCCTGAATACTTGAATACGAGGTGTATAGCTTGGCCATTCGAGTATTTTTCGTCTATTCAAAACACATTGATGATATCTGATCCTTTTATAATTAAAAGGATGAAAAGGAAATGGTCTAGTGTCTAATATTATTTTCCTCTATTTTTTGGATACAATTTGGCTAACTCTACCATTTAAGAAATCTTCATCCACTAAAAAACATTCTAACACATTAAACCTATTTTCTCGCCCACGCGCGATCGAAAACCTTTTCAAAAAGAACAATATTTAATCTGTTCTACTACGATGCGAACAACTCTTTAAGCCTCCAATCGCGAGCACAAGTAACGTTTAATCGCTAGAACGCAATCTAAACATTCTTTCAATAAAATCAACCAACCAATACATAATTTTCTACGCAGAACTATGTTGCTTCGAATTCTTCACTGTACCTTAGGATAGAGCGAGACCTGCAATCTCGTCAAGCACCCTAATAAAAACCTTTTTGCGACCCTTTTTCTTTTCCTTTTGAACTTTTAAGTCATTTGAAGAAAGAAAATATAAGCTAATATTCTAACCGAAAATCTAACTAAAAGATTCTCGTTGAGTACAACGGATGTGAGGGGTGCTAATATCTTTCCCTTGCATAATCGACTCACAAACTCAAATTTGGTTACGACTGGCATTTTCTTTTTTTGTAAGTGTTTATTGATATTTTCCATTTCCTTCTTTGGAATAAATAAAGTTCGATGGCAGCTATGTTAATCATCCGCGAGCGTGCAATACGCTCATAGGTCGTATTTTTCGAGGTGCGATACTTATGGCCTTTAATTTCATCAATTGTAGGAATATTGTGACCATCTAATACAGTAATCTAATTTATTCATATAATCAAATATCTTGTCAAATTTTGTGATATCAAGGGCATATTTTATTTATCCTCTAATGAATTGGTGTCATTTACTTTAGAAGGCTTCAGTATAGGGCACAAATAACTTTTCCATTTAAGAATATCAACTACTAAATATCTAATGTAGGATTGGTTGACACATCATCATCATATCCATATCAATGATGGAGAATAAATGTTGGCATCTCCCTCGGCTAACACATTTGTCTCCCTTTCTTGGATAAATTTGTTGATGTGAACTACTCTAGAAGCCATTTTGTTTGCATCCTAATATGTGTGCGTGAAAACTTCTCTTTTAACTAGAGATGCATGCCATTAAGGGTCAATGATGTATACTCCAGGCTATAAATTTGGACCTAACACTTTCTAGCCTTCTTTCTGGACCTCTCAAAAAAAAATGCATTTGACTCATTTACTTGTTGTTGAACAAGTGACTCTAAACACAACATTGGAGGATGAATTACATGGGTTTGAAAAACCATTTCCAAATAAAAACTCTTTTTGCAAAATCATAGTTTAAAAAGTGTTCGCAACACAAACAAGATAAAATCAGCAGAAAATAGAAAATCAGATAGATGGAAATGCAACCAAAATAAGTAACTGAAAACTAAAGGCATAAGGGAAGAGATAAAAAGACCAAAGATTTATAAAGGTTCGATATAATAGTGTGACTTACTCCTCTCCCCAGGAATTCCTTCTCGAAAGTTTCAACTGTGATGTGAGCTTTTGACAATATTTGCCCATAAACCTCCTTACACGAGAATTGGAGTTTTACAATGGTTATCTTCCAAACCAACACAGAGTTTTAACTACGGATACCTTCAAACCAAGAGATTTTCCACCAGGACAATCTTGAACCAACTGAAAGCTTTTAACATAGTTATGAACCAATTGGGAGTTTTAATAACAAATATCTCCCAATAAAACAAAGGTTTTAACTAGTTTACCTCATCAACCAAACAAAAGCTTTTTCCGCTGGTTTATTTCAACAAAAATAAAATGTCCCCCAAAAATATTTTACAATATTTCCCTTACACCAGACCCAAACACCTCGCATATATTAACTTGACTCTTAAAAGCACTAACGTAAAAGTGATTATATATATAAAACAAAAATTGGTTCAAAATGAAAAAGATCTATGTGCCTTATTAATGCTAATAATCAATTAAACAAGTGTCATAATCGATTATCAATTACAAAAGGAAGGCTTATTACTAGTCGATTATTATCCCTAATAGTTTATTATGATGCTTTACAAACATGAATAATCAATCAGGCCTAAGGGTTAATCAATTGTGCAGTGGAAACTTCTCTCATAAGGAACTTTTTGAGCTTTTATCCAATTAAATTGGCATAACAATATTTTCTGGTCCTTTTAATAAGAGAGAGAGAGAGAGAGAGAGAGAGAGAGAGAGAGAGAGAGAGAGAGGTTTCTCAACCATTAAAAAATATGTGTGTGTGGTAAAATCGATAACTAGTCTTATGCTTTTACAGACACAGATCATTCGTCACAGACTCGGGGAGTCTTCACACTTCCTCACTTTCATAACTCTGAAGCTTCTGGTTCCTTTCTACATTATCTTTAGTTTGAGCACTTCACTATAAACTTGAATATTCTTCTGATGAGGTTTGAGATAACTCTTTAACATAGACACTATCATCAGATACACTACTTGATTAGAGATATTCACTAACTACACTGAAGGTTTATCGACATAAGGTGATATCTTTCAGAGAAGGACTTTGACATCGTGATCTTCAAGCACCACAACTTGATCACCACATAAGATGTTGACTTTGCCAAATAATGTTGTCTTATAAACACCAGATGAACTTGATTGACACCTCTGATGAAAACTACACTTAAGACCTGATTGTTGCAGATGTTATATCTGCAAGCACATAGGTTCACACTTTTTTTATCAAATCCATTTGATCAAGTAATCTATAAATGGTCGAAGGCATGTCCTACATCATAGAATATGTTGTTCGCTTGCATAGTATTTTTATAAGGCAATATTTGTGGGATACAAATCTATCTGGTTGCTTCAAGTGACCTCCTTAAAATATGTACATATACAACTTAAAAATTGGCCTCATTGTATGTATCGTCATTGGATGTCTCCAAGGTTACTTGTCACAAAAATACTAGGTTTGGAATTATGAAAAGTAAAAGGTAGTTGTTGTATAAGAATTAGTTGGACCCGAGAAGACTCTATCGTCATATTAATTAACTAGCTTTGAGTAGAAATGTTTGTCTGGCATTAGTTATATTAAACTTCTCGTAAAATATACATGACAGAGTTGTCCCCTGAATTGACTCGCGTGATTTTAACTTCCCAGCTTGTTGGGCCTTGTTCATAGTTCTTACAATATCAGTAAGTTGTTTAGAGACTTGATACATGATGTCATGTATCACCAAGTATAATTGTTAGTCAAGAATTGGTTGAATGCTGACAATAATTGGTTGAATGCTATCAATAATGAATATCTATTTTCAAGAGATTGCATAGAGGAATGAATTACGTCCCTTTAACAAGAATTAGTTGAATGCTATCAATAATGATTCTCTTGTTTTCAAGAGATTGCGTATAGGAATGAATTATATCCCTTTGTTATGGGTTCCTTAACTATTTCAAATAGCATTAACTATATATATGTGGAAATATTAAACTACTAGTATAAAAATGCATACAAAATAAAATAAAGTAAATAAGATAAAGTGTGTAAAATAGTTTGATTGATTGATTGGATGCGCTAAAACATCTACAAGGTGTAGTATTTATAGAGAAAATTACCATACTTGTCATAGAATCCTAGCATATAGAAAGTGTTATCTCATTCGACTATTTATGTGGATAATGCATGATGTTCTCTCTATTTTGACATATGTGATGCCACATGTATGTTCAGCTTTGTGTCTTATGTTTCTTAGTAAATTATGTTGATCGTATGTTTCTTAGTAAATTATGTTGATCGTATCCTTATCTGTGCAACTTTCTTAGGTAATGATTCTACAATTCTGCCACCTTCGATTAATGACTAATATGAAATAATGTGTAACTTTCTTAGGTAATGATTCTACAATTTCGCCACCTTCGATTAATGACTAATTCGGAACAAAATCATACAATTCAAATGTTCAATTCTACTGTAATTTGACTGAGTCTAAATTTTTAGAGACCATAATAAAACTCGAGTGATCTTGAGAAACTTTCAATTGACTCATATTCATTTGTATTTAAACCCGTTTTTACTTGCTATTAGCCGAGAAACCTTGGGCTAACTCTAACATCAGTTGTCTAGCGATTTTGCGACACTTAAATTATTTTTAGATAAAAACAAGTTTAAATGTAAATAAATATTAACAAAAATAATTAACTAATTAATTAAGTAAATAAAGAGATGACTTAAAATATTAAGTCCTCTTCATACTCCTCAACCAATCTAATATAATCTTATATATCTATGATTAAGATAGGTAATTTTCCATGAAACAATAAACAAGCATCCCTTCATTTGTTAATGAATTGAAGAGAAGTTACAATCAAGCATCTACAATTAAAGTCAATTAGAAGAGACTAAACTTATTGTCATATAGTGATCTCTTCACTAGTTAGGTGAATTACAAAGTTGTGACACACATAAATCTCTATACACTTGCAACACACATGATCATAACTTCCCCTTAACTTCTTCCAATTCTCAATGATGAATCAACATCTTTATCTTTATTATTAACATTTGCAAAGATCCTAGCAATCTCAAGTTGTGTATTAGCAATAATTTCAGTTCTTTTGATTTCCATTTCCCCTCTCTTTGCCTCAGCTTCAACTCTCATCTTCTCTATCTCTTTCAATGTCTCCATTCTTGTTTGCTCTGACCTTACAACAACTTCTGCTAGCCACCTTATGCTTTCTGCTATTCCTATTGCTTCTTTCTTCTGTCTCTTGCTATTCTTGTTCTTCTCCGATCTCATTCTCCGCTTTTTGCATCTTTCTTCGTCTTTTTCGCTGTACAGCGCCGGCGTGCTGCTATCGGTTTCTAATGGATTCTTGTTAGCTGCATGATCAGATGACTTAGTTTCTAACTCATCTGCTTCCTGTCAATAACAAATCATGCAAAAAAATTATTTCTCAAATGTTAAAATATTTCATTCCAGTCAATAACAAATCATGCAAAAAAATTATTTCTCAAATGTTAAAATATTGAGAAATGCTAACGAGTGCCTTCGGGGCATTGATTAAGAGATTAAAATGGTAAGTTGGACATTATTTAAGAGATTAAAAATACATTTTTTTCTAAATATATGTGTATTCAATATCTAAAAAAGAGAAATAATCAGACTTTTTAAAGAATATTGTGTGAATTAAATATAACATATTTTTCTTATTTGGAATTCTTAACTAGTGTCCTAAAGGCACTGGTTAGCATGACCCTAAAATATTTTTAGTATTATTTTCTAACATTAAAATTAGCTGGAAATTTCACATTTAAAAAAAAATTAATATATAAACGAAAAACAAAATCTAGTTAACTTAGAAAGACAATTTCATAGTTAAAAATGTATTTTTTGTCTATGCAAGTTATAAGTTAGCGTGTTTTTTATTTCAGTCTCTGTAATTTTTTAATTTGTGTTTGGTCAATTCTAAAACTAAAATCTATAACAAAATCCGTAAGAAATATGTGAATTTTGTCTTAAAGAACTGAGATATAGAAATTCGAAAAAAAAAAATGATAAGAATCAAAATAAAAAGCACACAAACTTCCGAGAATTAAGAGATTATTTATACCTATTTTTTAGTATATTAGTGCGCAACTGTCAACGCTAATCTTCAAAAACTAGAAAAATATTATAATAAAATTACTCAAAATGAAAAATGATTTTTTTTATAACCAAAAGTGAATTATGGAGAGAGTATAAGCAAAATGAAAAATTGTTAATTTACCTTAGCGAATTTATCAAACCCATTTGATCCATGTGAGTTTTGAGCAGTTGCAATTAGTGGTGGATTAGCAACACTAATAGGAGCTGGTAGCTGATTAGCTTCATCAATCCCTTGTTGTGAAGGTTCCAACAAAACCAAACCATGATTAATATTACTATTAGTATTATTACTACTTACTTGTAGCAATTTCGTAGCAACATTCGTAGCTAATTGTCCAGTCCCACGAAGAAGAAGATCAAGCCTAGAATACAAAGGCCAAGCCGAAACATCGGAGCTAGCCGACTCCGATCTGTATCTTTTCTTCATTGATTCAATCTTATTCTTACACTGAGTTTGTGTCTTGGGCGACTTAGTCGAATTCGATCGCGACGAAACGTGTTTCGCGACGTCTTCCCAGTCTTGTCCCTTGAGTTTTGCTCGGTTTCTGAGTATCCATTTTGATTCATAGGATTCAAGAAGTGTTGTAACTGCCCCCTCACTCCATTCATCTCTTTTTAGTCTCTCATTTGTTGTGTTGAGGATGGTGATTTGTTGTTTTCTTTGTGAGTCTTGTGATGTTGGAGGGTTTTGGTTTTCTTGTTTTTCATTCATTGCTTTTGAGCATGATAATATGATCCATATAGTGTGAGATATTTTAGAGTTTCTAGTGTTTTGATGATAACATTTGTTGTAAAGTTTCAAGGTCACATGAAGTTGAAGAATATGAAAGGGTAATAATAAGAGAAAGAAAGTGAACTTTCTTTTTCTTATTTTTTCTTATTTTAGTAAATCATCCATTTATTCTCTAAAATATTTATGTCTCTCTAATTATATGTTGTTTTACATTATCAATAAAATTTTAATGATTTATTTATTTATTTATTTTAGTTATTTACTATATAGTACTCTTTTTATGTTTCTTTTAACTTTTTTTATTTTATTAAAAAATAACAAATTTGTAAAATTATATATATATATATATATATATATATATATATATATATATATATATATATATATATATATATATATATATATATATTTGAAATTAGTTAAACGGTGTAAAATGATGAAATAATTTCATATAATTTAATCATTTTTATAAAAAAAATAGGCATAGGACGAACATGTCAAATTATCGATTTTGTGACTTATTTTTTATATTTTTATTCTTTTTATTTTTTGTATTTTTTATTCAATAATTTAGTTTTTATTATTTTATATTTTTTAGGAATTAAATTCATAGTTTTCTCTTCTTTTTTTTTGGTTTATAAAAAGGAAAAGAAAAGAATAAATAGAAGAAAAAAAATGGTTCACTTTTTTGTCAAATTAGTTAATGATGTCAATGACATAACTTTTTCTTTTACTTTTCTTTTTTTTTGTATGGGAAAGAAGTGGTGTTTGTGAAGTGAGTGTTGGTTTTTGGTTGAGTTTATTTGGATGTTAGCGTTGTTATGAAGCCAACCAAGATATCCACTTGGGTTAGCATAAGGGTAATGCTAGTGGTGGGTCTATCACATGAGGACCACAATAGGTAATAGGTGGCAAAGTCGAGAAAGATTACAATAAATAAAAAAGTATTCTTTTTAAAGGATTATTACCATTGAAAATTTAGGTTAAATTCGAATTCAGAAACTCTGATTAAATATATAAAATTATATTCTTTTATGAAAAAATTCGAGAAATATTCACTACGAACAACACCATGTAAGATACCCTAAAATTTCAATTCCACCACAACCATCCAACATGGTACCTTCACTAAAACAAACATCTCTCTATCCATTTCATCTTTATTTCTCCACTTTTTCTCTCTCAAATTACACTTTCTTGAGCTATATTCATGTACCTTTTGAAAGGTCTTTTGGTGATGCACAACCACTAAAATCAAACTATTCAAAATGGCTTTATAATCAACACTATGGTTGGCCATTGGAGTGAGGAATCAAAGTATGACACGTCTATCAAAACAAATTATGTTGTGGGTTTAGTGACTCATTCCATTCTAAAAAGTTTGCCTAGCTAGTTATAGGTCATTTTGATTTATGGCTTCTTTCTGTCTTTTTCTTATTTTTTTCCATTAGGTGAGATATTGGTTTTTTTTTAAACATTATTAATGTTAATTTAAGAAATGAAACAATGTTCTTTGTGACATCATTGGAATATTTTGACTTAATATTGTTTTAATTGTCTTTTGGAGTCAATTTATATATTCTTCTTCTAAAATGTTAGGGCGATTTATGGTGTAAAACAAATTTTAAAATAGAGAACTTTTTAACTTAGAGATGTTAATATGAAAACTAATTCTCTTGCAAATACACATTAAAAAATTATGCTTAAAGTAAAGTTTATTTTGCAAAACTTTAAAAGGAAAAATAAGTTTATTTTGTAACTTATTATTGACTATATCAATATTTTTTTTATCAAAAGTAAAAAAAATAAAAAATAGAGGCATAAGAGTAAAAAATGGATGGATTGAAAAAATGAGTTTATGAATTAAAACAATCAATTTACTAATAAAAAAAATAATATTTTAAAAAATCAATTCTTTTATAAAAAATTATTTAATCCATTTATTAATAATTTTTAATTGATTAATATTTATTGTACGTGAGTAGAAGGAGTTGATCACCAGTGTTGTGAAGTGATATTCAGATTACTCATATATTTTTTCTCTAAGTATAGAAGTGTATATGAAAGAAAGAAAAAAAAAGACTGATACCAAATTCTAACATGACAAAAGCACTTATTAAGTGAGTTAGTAATTGACTTTAGAGTGATTTTTTTTTACTTGTAGAGTTGTCGAACTTGTAAATACTTATTAGATTGATTAGATTTATCAACATAGGCTGGGATGGATATTTGATTTGAGAAGTGTTAGAGTTGTCGAACTTGTAAACAAAATGGTAAAATTATGTAGTTCATATCGACAACCAGGACACAATCATACAAAATGTCCTAACGTAGGATCAAACACAAGATTATAGTGTCTAATGTAATCGTGTCCCTTTAAATCAAAAGCAAATTTCATTCCATTTAAAGCATACTTAACCGATTACAATTAGCAAGCAACAAAAATTAAACAAACATAACTTAATATCACAACAATATTCCAAAAATAATAACAACAAAACGACATAAAACAGAACAATGCATCAAGGTGTCTACGATATCACAACCATCAACGTTATCTTCTTTGGTGTTAACATCATCACAAGGACACCAACATCATTTTCTATTTTTCTCCATTCACAAGTAACTCCGTTTCTCCCTGCCTCCTCGACCAACCTCTCAATTTTCCTAATCTTTTCACCTGCAGCAATATCTCCTTCTAGCCAGCGGTTCAGTTCCCTATGCAAATGCTCCAACGTCTTCGTATTCCACAGGAGCACCTTCATCGGAGGCTTTGTTGCTGAAAAATAAACCAGGGCATTTCTTTTCATTAGAGGAAATGTTGGAAACGATTCCTCCGATGCTGATGACGAAGACGAAGAACGTTGATTTAGAAATGCAGACATTTTAGACTCCACTCCACTCAAAATTATTAAGACTTCAGTCTTTTGGTATAAAATATTGTGGAAAAATATATGTGTTTGCAGTCGTATTTATAGAAAAATAAAATAGTACGTACACCATATGATATGCCTTAAATACGCTTACAAAATTTATATACTTTTTTTCAACAAATACCAAATTTTTTCAATGTAAGATATAAAAATATCAAAATTCAAAGGTGACCTACAATTATATATTTTAAAATTATATATTTAATTATATACGAATTATATTTTAAAATTATATGTTAATCATATATTTATTATGTTTTAAAATTTAAACCTATTTATATTTATTATGTTTAAAATTTATATACAAATATATTTATTATTTTATAAAACTATATCACAAAAACTATATTTATTATTTAAATTAATTTATAATTTAAAAATTTAAATATATTTATAATTTAAAACTATATTTATTATTTAAATCAATTTAAATCAATTTTTATTTTAAATTACAAATATATTTAAAATATATTTTAAAACTATATCACAAATATATTTATTATTTAAAATATATTTAAACCTAAATCAATTTAAATATATTTTAAAACTATATCACAAATATAATTTTAAAACTATATCACATAAAAAAAATAAAAAAAATAAATAAATAGAAAAGAAAAATTAGAAACGAAAAAAAAGAAGAAAAAAAGGGGAAAAGGCCTGATTCGTCAATCCAATTGGCGAATCCATTGAAGTCTAACACATTTTCGTCAGCCCAATTGGCGACAGCGTTGTGAGGGAGGTGCATTCGTCATTCCAAATGGCGACCAACGTTGAAAGTTGGTTGTTTTGGGAAATATTTTGAAATATTATTTTGTTTAGTAATTAATTTGAAAAACTTGGTTATATTAAAAAAAATTCTCATCTTTCACCAACAAGATTTTGAAAATTGAAATTGAAAGAACACAACGATTAATGATTATTGATTGAGAATATTGGGAATCAAATCAATAACATGTAATTCTTGACCTAATAATATTATTTGTAAAAAGAATAATCTATGATAATATTTTAATATTTTTCCTTTAAAAATTATATTTATATATATATATATATATATATATATATATATATATATATATATATATATATATATATATATATATATATATATATATATATATATATATATATATATATATATATATATATATATATATATATATATATATATATATATATATATATATATATATATATAATTTTTCCTATTAAATAAATACTAAAATGCAATTAAGCAATATTGTCTATATTTAATACATCCTTACAAGGTGGATTATAAAGATTACTTAAACTAAGCTTGAAAATGTGAAACTCAAAGAGAGATTTGTATAACAATTTGGTTTAAAAAACTGCTATTTGCGTATGACTGTTAATATGAAATAGTTTTATAAGGCAAACGTCAATCTTCTCCTGAATAACGTGACAATCGATTTTGATATATTTGAATTTCTCATGAAATGACAGGTTATGAGTTAGATAGATGGCTGAATTGTTATCATAGTACATGGAACTGAGTAGAAGAAATGAGATGTTCAATCATTAAATAAGTAATGCAGCTATTGGACTACGCAGGCTAAGCTGGCAAGGGCTCGATATTAAGCTTCAAAGCTGCTCCTTGAGACTGTATTTTGCTTTTTTTAATTTCCATGAAACCAATGAAGTTTGTAGAAAAACATCATATTCGATTATGAATTTTTTAGAAATGGAGCAAGTGGCCCAATCCGAATCTACAAAATCAGATAATGAAAAGTTAGTAAAAGCAAAGTAAAATAAACCAATACAAGGAGCAAATTTTAAATATTGATGCACACAAGTTGTAGCACGAAAGTAAACCATTTTGGGATTAGAGACATATTGACTAAAATGTTGAACAACAAAGACAATATTTGGTCTAGTTGTAGTTAAATAAAGGAGTCTACCGATAAGTCTACGATATTGAGATTCATCCTCAAAAAGAGGAGAGTCAGTGCAATCAAACTTAAGAGAGGGATCATAAGGAATTTTGGAAGGTTTGGTGGCGAGATGGCTAGAATCTTCCAAGAG